GTTGTTATAGAAATTTTTTTTGTTACAAAATAAGTGTCTTTTTAGATTTTTAATGTATTTATTAATTTTATTATGTAATTTTTTTTCTATTGGTTAAAATGTGGTTAGGAGTATAGGTAATTGTGTTTTTATATTGGAAATATGTAAAATTAATTATTTTTTAAATCCGTGTACATAACTCAACACTTATAATGAAACAGAGGAAAGTAATATACTATATTGGATGACATTAAAAGAAAAAAGATTCAGATATTTAGCTTTTCAGGTTGAGTTTAATTCGTGTTTCTTCTATTTATCGATTTGGATGAAGTTTTACTAATAACAGCTGCCGAGACACAGGAGGTTTAAAGTGCAATTAGTAGCACACAGGGCTTTACAAGAAAGACTATTGTTCACCTACTAATTAAGATGAACAACACAACATATTATTTAGACATCATTCCACATTAGAATAATTTTTGATCTTTTGTTTTACATTATTATTTTTGGACTTATTTCATATACGCTTGTGGTTTACTTAGATACCCCAAACTTTTTTAAAAAATTTACATGGAAAAAATATCCCCAAATTTGTAAAGAAAAAAAGTTAAAAAAAAATCCTTACTAAATTGCTTATGGCCTTTTAACATTCTGGCACACACTACATTCTCCTATTTGTTTATTTGTCTTTGCGTAACATGCAGCCGTAAAGAAACAATTGGAGTTTAAAATTCTAGTGGAAAAGGAAGGGAAAACGGCTGATTAGTACCTGAACTTTGATCATATTGTCTGATCAATATCCAAACTATTTCACTGTGCGAATTTATACCTCATCTAATACAAATTTTGAATTTAGTATCTGAACTATAGTCATATTGGCTAATCAATATCTAAACTATTTTATTATGCGAATTTGTACCTGATCTAACAAAAATTTTGAATTTGGTACCTGAACTTATAAAATCTGACTTTTACATACTTACGACTGACAATATATCGATATTCTGCTGAGATGGACCGGTTTTTTGATGAATTGGTGTTGTTTCAAAAATTATTTTTTAAAGAAAACAGAAATGAGGCCGCCTAGGTTCGACCCCGTTTCCGAACATATTCATAATAATTTCACTAATTACTTATGCTGGATAAGTTCCAAATGACCTTGGAATGGTGTCTCTGTTTATCACCACAATGTCTCAAATGATTCATCAATCTCATATAATTAATCGTTGTTTGTCACCACCATATCTCAAATGATTCATCAAATCTCATTTAATTAATCGTTGTTTTGATGAAAACATTTGATGAGATTTGATAAAACGAGATTAAAAAAAAGATTATATGAGTTCAAAACAAAAAGAGATTTGATGAATCATTTAAGACATGATTGTAACGAATGGAAACACCATTCAAAGGTTATATAGTTGTTTTAGTACAACAAAATGACGAATCTGTTCTAGCATAAACGGTTATTGTCATATTATGTTTATGTTTTGGGACCCCGGTTCAAATTAATTAAGTTGTCTCCTTTTTTTGTTTTTTGAAACGCCAATTCATCAAAAAACCGGTCCATCTCAGCAGAATATCGACATGTTGTCAGTCGCAAGTATGTAAAAGTCAGATTTTATAAGTTCAGGTATCAAATTCAAAATTTTTATTAGATCAGATATATATTCGCATAATAAAATAGTTTGGATATTGATTAGCCAATATAACCATAGTTCAGGTACTAAATTCAAAATTTGTATTAGATCAGATATAAATTCGCACAGTTAAATAGTTTGTGTATCGATCAGACAATATGACCATAGTTCAAGTTCTAATCAGCCGTTTTCCCGAAAAGGAACGATAAGATTTGAAGTGAGAACTGTCCTCTTTTACTTGCATTTGATTATAGTGTTGACACATTTTCGTCAACAAACAAACAGACAGCAACACGTTTATGCACAGAAACACAAGACATCTTAACATTAAAAAAAAATAGGCAACAAGTATAGAACTAAACAAAAAGGAATCAGTGATTCATTACATTACTGCATCTGTTATATGTACACAAGCCAAAGGAACCACTAGATAAACACTTTTGTATACAAAACTAAGCTTACTTACTTTAGAGGCATTACCTGAAAAATTACATAAGAAACAAACGTACAACTACGAGAGAGAGAGAGAGAGCAAGGGGATAAACACCGATGACCATGTTAATAAACCCGCGAATCTCACCTTAATCTTGGTTTGAAAACGATAAGGCGTCAGGATTCGAGGAAGGAAAAGGGGGGCACCGTGTTAGCAAATCTGTTCTTGGTGAGAATAGTTGTTGTTGTTGTAGTCAAAAAGAACAAATCTGTTCTCTTGAGGAAGATCAGTTTTTCTACAATTGTTGTGAAGTCAAGCGGCTTGTGATTGGTTTTAGTTGTATTATGTGAGCCTTCATGCTACAATCTGTAACCTGTTTGTTTTGAGTTTACCCACAAAATCAATATCAGAATAGAGTAGACAAAAACAAGAAATAATAAACAAGATTCATTACCTGCATAGCTGCTACTCTTGATAAGAATCCTTGACATCTTTCAAGCATAACCTTTTCCTTCGCAGTTACATTAACCGTCTCGACCATTACAGAATTCATTTCATCAACCTACCCATGATAATAACATTCACCACCGACATCAATGGGCGAAATCCATAAAACGCAACGGTTTTATACTAAAATATCCCACGACAGATCTTCAGATCCAAGAGATACAACATAGACTCAAACCATGTGTTTTTAACTTCCAAAAGTCGGTTTAAGTTAATCACTGAGAGAGAAAGAGTAGTTTACCTTCAACGTAAGCGAGAATATGGAAGATGACAAAGCTTGCATTACATCAACAGCTGAACTAACAGCATGCTTAAGATCTTTGATATCAACCTAAAAAATTTCAGGAAGCATATTAAATTTTTATTAACTAAAGGCTTTAGTATTAAGCCAAAAGGGTTCATGTATGTCACAAAGTTACTCACCACGGTCTTTCCAACAATTGGTAGCCGAAGCGTGCTGGCTTTCAAGGCTTGGGTTGCTCCAGACAAAGAACTTGAATGATCTCTGTCTAGAAGAGACCATTCTTCTAAATATCCCATCTACAATTTAACATAACCATCAAAAAAAACATCCATACTATTCTTTCTACTTATATGCATCACCAATGGGGAAGTACAAGAACTATAGTTCTCATGCTTCCTTGTAAAAGATTCAGAATGTTAGTGGGGATGATTCTAAGCAAGTAAGTATACCAACTTCTAGACGTAGATAAAACATTTTACCTACCAGCTACCATACATAATTAGTTAACTAGAGTCCAGATTTATTTGCTAATTCTGTTACAGTACAATTACCATTCTGCAATAATTGAGTTGTATCCAAAAATTTATTTTCTTGCTACAGTAAGAAGGAATCACTAAGTAAATTCCACAGAAAAATCTGTTTTCTTTCCCAAAAATAGAAAGAAACAAATCTTAATAGAAAGACTTAAAAGTCTTACCTGTCCCTTCAGAATAGAAGCCAGTTTCAATTTTTGCCTTAGCAAAAGCAACTTGATTCGTTTTAATGTAACGCTGTGGCGCAGTTCTGAGATTGATACCCATGCATTCCACAGGTTCTTCTGGCAAAGAGAAACAAAAATGTCAACTCACATTCTATGTTATGCCAGAAACCACAAGAAAAACAAGGGCTTTTAGTTTACTCCTTAAACCATGTTCTTGAAAGATTTCAACTAACTATACTCTCACTCTCTTCCTATGCAGGCTACTATTCCACTATTCTAGCTGGGTAAGATTAACACATTCATGCTTAAAACTCCATCTTGTCATGATTTTGTTTCCACAAATGCTGACAAACCTTGCACCTACAGAGCCTAAGCATAGACGAACTAATCATATACCCGTTTCTAAACCTGTAGCAGGTGGCTATAAAAGCATCTACAATCCATAAAAAGGAACTTAAAAGATCTCATAAGCTATACCTCTGCGTTCAATCTCTGCACCATTAACGCAGAGCCTGCTCTCGCATTGACAAACCTCCACTGCAAGTAACGGTTATAAAGAAGCCTCAACAAATGTGCATCCACAACACGATCTCCCCCAATCTTCCCTCTCCTAATATCCGCAGAGAAGCTAAGAATCGAACTCGTGTTTTCCTTGCGGTTATAACCACCATTCATCTGATCAGAAACCACATTTCTCACTCGAGAAGGACTCGAAAGAGCCCTAGCTGGAGATGAACTAGTAGTAGTAGTAGCCCAAAGCTTACTCGGTGAAGCAGAGCGAATAGAAGCACCACCTCTTACAGGAGAAGAAGCCATACCACGAGGAGATAATGATGATAGAACAGCATCACTAGAGAACCTTTTAGAAAGACCAAGCTTAGATGATACACAACCAGGATCCTGCAACCGCCTTAACCGGGTATTAGTCTCTTGCCAGAACCTAGCAGAAGCCAAACCATTACGAGACAAGCTCCTCCTTGACTTGGAGATTTCTCCGTTAGTGCTACCAGAAGAAACACTGTCAGTATCAGAAGCAGTCAAGTCACAGGAAACACCATTGTTTGGTCTTCTTCTCTGGCCTTCATCTCTACTTTCTATATCTAAACTCAACCTTCCATTAATAGAAACCCTAGGACTTCCATTAGATCCGAGCTTCCCTCTCTCACTCCCACCACAGTCTAAGCTTAAAGGTTCGGACTTTCCTCTCCGGGAAGCTCCGGGCCAGCGATGCTGATCCACGGGCTTCGAGTTCTCCCTCTGATCTCGCACCGGCGTCGATCTCCGGTGAGAAACCGGCGTGGAAGCTTCCTTCTTTTTGCTAACCGGAAGCGAAAAGGATTCGCCTTGGAACGAAACAGATAAGCTCCGAGTGGAAGTGATGAGCATCTTCGTCGCCGCCGACATTTCGGTGGTGGCCGGAGCCGCCGAGGGTCGGCGACGGTCTACGGATTGTGACCGTTTAGGTAATAAAGAAGGCGTTTTTATGGGGTTGGAAGGGAGTAGAGGAGATGGGTATCGTTTACTTGTCTTGAGAATGGTTGATGATGAAGAAGAGGAAGAGGACGATGTTGTTGTTGTGGAGGAGGAGAGGGAGAGGGAGTGAGAAGGAGAAGGAGATAAGTAGCGAGAGGGAACCTGTTTGCCTTTTGGTCTTCTGTGTCCGCTGACATTGTTGTTGGGTCGATCTCGAGGTGGGTCAGTGCTGCTGGAGATTGCTCCAGCTACCATTATAGTCTATGGCTCTTCTTCTTCTTCTCACCCAAACTCATCAAAACCAAAACTTTCAGAGATTTGTAGTTGCTTCGGAGGCGAGGAAGACGAAAGAGAGAGAGAGAGAGTGATGGGAGATGGGGGAGAAATTGCAAGTGGGGTTTGTGGATTTGGGGTAGAGGTTTTCTCAAAAACTTGTTTTTGTTTTTGGTTATATGAGCTCTTTTTTTATATTATTATTTTTTTTGGCTTTTTTCACAGGTTTACATCAACTTTATAGTTTGGAATGTTTATTCTTAGTTTCTTTTTGCTTGTTATGATTTATCATGAGTTAGTTCGTTATTTCTACATTGTGTTATCAGATATTTCTAATAATAACCATCATTATGCATTATTTTTTTTTAACCAAATGAATGAAAATTAGTTTGTTTATTCTCAGTTACATGTTGGGCTGGAAAATAAATTGAACCTAAAAATCAGAATCGAATCCAACCCGATAAAAATTAATCTGAACCGATATGTATCTGATATAAATAATAACTTGATTTTGTTTTACGGTATTTTGGATTATATTTTTATCTGAACCAAGCCAAACTTAAATGGACATCCAAATAAACCTAAACTTCAAAATTCCAAAAAAACTTGTACTATATTCGATCTCAATTTCTAATATGTATCCAACACACAATATGAATTGAATACTTGACATAATTAGTTAATACATGAAAAATCAATTCAAATAGTTAGTCTAATATATATGTTATTTGGTTAGTATTAATGTTATTATGTTTCACATTGCGTTTGAAGCTTAGTTATGAATACATATTTATTTTAAAGCTTTAATATTGTTACGTATATATGTTTAACGACAAGTCTCGTATAGTTGATATACGAGTTTTATAAAATTATTTTGAATCACAACAATATGGTTTGAGGAAACTAAATACATATTCTTTTTTAAAGGATTAAAAATAATTTGATTTTCATCAACTATAAATTAGAATATTTGGAACCGATAACCCAATTAATATCCAAAACTATTTTGGATTCAACCGGATCTTAGATATACAACTAAATTCGAGTCGAATTCGACTAAACCCAAACCGAATTCGACTGAAATGAAAACTGGAGCATTTCTTACTTCAAATTACAGTTTGGAGTGAAAATAAAGTGGAGTTAGAGATAGTCTTAGCTAACTAACATAATCCATATTTTGAAATTTTGTAAACTACTATACCTCTTCCAGCTATCCTATCATGGTTGATTTATATGACATCATATCTAGCTATAATTGTTATAAACGACTTCACATAAATAACCAAAATGATATATATATATATATATATATATATATATATATATATATATATCATGAAATCTTAAATTACCAATCTTGAGAATAATTATCAGTAGAAAAACGTGTTAAGAAAAAAAGTTTGTTTTTACATAGACGATATTAAAACTGACAATTCTACTTGTCTTATGCGGATTCATATCGGACTCCATCACCCTGAGCCGCTTTATAAGATCTATTCCTGACGGTACATCTTGTGCCATGCTGAAGAGTTCTTGTAAGCTTTTTCTTCAATCTATATAATTCGCCATTCAATTTTTCTGGAAATTTAAACCCTCTTGGTGTAAAAATTGTGTAGCCTGAGATTCAAATCTCAGACCTGGTATAGAAACCTTAAACTTTAACCACTAGAATATGATGCTTCCACAGAAAAAAAAATTTAGCTATCCTTACGATTTTATGATTTTAGAATGTTAATTGAACATTTGCATGTGTTTAAGTTGATAAACTTCTTAGAATCTTTATTGAAGATTTTGGCTCTCCTTTACTTAATACTTACATTTTAGCTCATAAATTAATATAACTAACAGAACAAGAACGTAAGAGATAAATTTTTTATTTCAAAAATAACTAAAAGAAGCATTTGTAAAGATAGTTTTTCAAAGTTTTCACACTAGTTTATAATCATAAACATATTTTCAAACAAAAAAAATAGATTTACAAAATTATTATTAATTTGAATTAAGTGAAAACGGTTAATCACATCAAACAGTGCTTCATAATCAAATAATATATATGTACAGAAACTGTTATTATTTGTAAAACTTATTATATAGATAAAAACTGTAATATAAATAATCAAATTATTAATTTGGAGAAGATATTACATGAATTTTGATATTATCAATTTAAGTTTCAAATATTAAGGTTGGAGTTTGGAAAGAACAAAATATTTTAGGTGAAAATAGTTTTAACGTACTAAGACCAACATTATCGGAGCTTCTAAGGGTGACTTCTTAGTAATAAAGGCCCCAAAAATAAATGAAAAGGCTGAAATACCCAACAAACGTTTACTAATTAAGAAGTTTTATGGATGGTTCTTAGTTGCAACGTGGCAGAATGACATTGGAGTTCAATATCGTGTAGGGCAAAGAAGCATTGCGGTCTCCAATCTCTCATTCATCTTCTCCTTTCCTCTCTCGACGGCGAAACCCAATCGCATGACCTTGTCCGCCAATTTCATCCCACTTAAAGGTTTACCGGCGATTTCATCCCTCTCAAAGCTATTAAGATTTACTGAATTTTTGAATTGCAATGCTTAAAGTTTCTAACTTTTATCAGTGACATTAAGATTGTTAGGAACTAGGAATGGTAACCGTGCTCTTAGCTTTGTTGGAGGTAATGGAGGGGTCAAAAACGTGAGTGCTAGTTCAATGTGGGTGATGTTGTTTTTATTTGTGACTTGAACTCACAAGAAAATGTAATTACTGTGACTTTTCTAGACATGGATGTAGTGTTTGGTATTGGGTATTGGGCATTTTTTTAACTGCTTGGATTTGGATGCTTCAGGTTTAGCTGATCCTTATGTGAAAGGGCAGCTTGGCACTTACAGTTTCAAAACCAAGATACTAAGGAAAACATTGGCTCCAAAATGGTAAGAAGAGTTCAAGATACCAATCTTGACATGGGACTCTCCAAATATACTCAACATTGAAGTACAAGACAAAGATAGATTCAGCGATGACAGACTTGGTGATTGTTCAGTAAACATTTCAAAGTTTAGAGGTGCGCAAAGAAATGATATGTGGTTGCCTCTTCAGAACATCAAAATGGGGAGGCTTCACCTTCCCATTACCGTAACTGAGGATGAACAAAAGGTAGAATTGAGCTTCTGTGTTATTTCCCTGAACATGGAGTTTAATTAGTAAGTATAAAAGCAATATGTGCCTCATTCTTTTACAGTGGAGTGATGACCTTTTTGAAGGAGTAACAGTAAGTAAAGAAGACATGTGGGTTTCTAAGAAACCTTACCTCAAGCATCGATTGCCTTGTCCTGTAGATTTATAGTTATTTTGTGTTGTTGTAGTGTACACTATATCGCTGAGACAACAACTACAAGACGTCTCTAAGAAGCTAGTTGGAGCACTACACTAATAAGGACGGCTCTGTGAATAACATGCAAGAGCTATCTTTTTGTGTATCATGAATTTTGTTTTCCTGCCACTGCTATTATTCATATGGTTCATGTTTGTTTTGTGTAATGATCTATATGTGTCTTTACTTCTGCTTGTGTTTTGTCAATGAAGCTAGCTTAGGGAATTTATCTACTGGAGCAGTGGAGCAAAAAGGGTAGTTTCGGAGCTGTTTACTACCAGACCAAATATTACTCAATCATTTTACTACGAGACCAGTGGAGCTATATTGATTACAGAGTAATGGAGCAAAAAAGGATATTGAAGGGTTTAGCTCAGAGGGTTATATTGATAGGAAGTATTGCATTGTAGCTGGGAAGAAGGCTCTTGAAAATTCTGATTTTGGTGGTGATAAGCTTAGCACAGTACTACTCTTTTAGATGGATCAAAGTTCAGAGTTTTGAAACTCATTCAAATTCTGCTGTTTGTTATGTATTTCAAATGATTTTTTACTAAGAGACAATATAAAAGTTTTTACCAATAATCTGCATATTTACTTGTGTTTCTTAACATTGTCTCTTAATCAAAAAAAAAAAAATGCTAAGAGACATTAATTTTGTCCCTGTAATAATATTGCTCTAAAGGCTCATATAATCACATTAGACCATCAACAATGGTTTCAACACCCTTCCACTTTTCAACACCCTCATTTTCCCCTTTTTACATTCCACATCATCTTCTCTTTTTTCCACCTCATTTATTCAACACCCACTTCCTTCTAAACCTCTACGATGGTTTGTTTTAAAAAATTCAACACCGTACTCCACAAATTTTTAATCATATTTTTTTCTTACAATATAATAATTATATATTAATAATTAAAAAAAAACTAAGATAACATATAAATGGCGAGTGTACACTAAGTGTAAAGTACTAAGTGTACACTAGCACATGTACAACCAGTATAGAGTGTACACTAGCGCGTGTACAGCCAGTACTGAGTGTACACTAGCGAGTGTACACTTTCAACATCCACTTCATTTTTTACCTCTACAATAATTTGTTTTAAAAAATTCGACATCCTACCCTACAATACCATTTTTAAATCATGTTTTTTATCTTTTTATTGTATTTAACTTAAAAGTAATACTAAATTTATCATTATTAAACAATTGCAATCAATTTTTAAAAGTTTAAAACATTACTATAGTTGATTATAATGAAAAAATGAAAATATTTTAAAAAAAATTCTATTATAGAATAAATAAGTTTGAATTATTAGGTGAAACTAAAAATCAGAAAAACATGTATAACAAATTCTTCCAATCCAATAACGCCATGTGACAAAGCTGTCCCACACAAAAAAAAGTTTCAGCTGTTGAAACTTATCAACACATGTTGATGCCACATAGGTTTACTCAAAACTTCAACACCCTCACTGGAAGAGGTTCAACAGTTGAAAACAAGTTTCAACACCCCCATTGTAGATAGTCTTATGGGGCTACGGACTATGAATATCAAACAACGCTATCATTTATTTGTATATATGTAGAATGTGAAATTTTAATTTAAGATATAAAGTGTATGAAGAA